GGGTGGGGGGGGGGGAGGGGGGAGCATTGTTCTCTCTACAAGTTTCGTACCCGCGACGGGACAGCCCTGGTGCAGCTCGTTGTTCTGCTCGATGAAGTCCATCACCTTCCCCTGGTGCCGCAGGGTCGGGAAGTATCCGGACGAGAGCGCGTCTCCGATGGTGTTGGCCGTCTTGCTGGAGTGCTGCGATCGAACACAACAGCAACAAAGGCAACGACAAGACGACGAAAATAGTAGTGAAGACAACGACATCAACTGTAGCAGTCTAGACGGCGTGCTGCGATCGAACAACAGGAACGACGGCAACGACATGAGCAACAATGTTGCTGGCGTGCTGCTCGAACACAAGAACGACGACAACATGATTTACATGCAGTCTCGGCGTGCTACGATCGAAAACGGCAACAAGACAACGTTAGTCTTGCCCTGGCGTGCCTTGACAACAGCAACAGCAACAACAACACCGAGGATAACAACGACGACGAATTCAACCATGGTCTTGCCTGCATCAACCTCGAAAACAACCACGACAATGGCAGCAACAACGGCAGCAGCAACGACAACAAACCACCACCACCACCATTACCACAACAACAACGGCAACCACAACGACAGCGACGACGACGACAACGACATCATCAAAAAAATCGACGACGACCACGCTATGGAAGAGATCGATCAACAACGAAAGATCGATCGAAAACAAGAAACGACCCGTTCGGGAAAAAAACGTGGCAGGAGTTCATCCTGCTTAAGTTCAGGCGCGTGCTGTACAACATAGCAATAGCACGCCAACTACCTCGAGGACGTCATCGCAACCTACCGTATATGACACAAGATAACACACCCCCTGGACTCATTTTCAAAGCTTGATTACTCCACGACCAAGAGGATGAATAAACGAAACGATACATTTTCGGAGAGCTCTCTCTCGACCACAAGGCGTTAACGCGGCCGTTTTCGGCAACCCCACTCGTTCTGTCGTTGAGAAATCGAGTTTGGAAAAATCGGGCCACGGGGTGTGTTGTCTTGTGTCGTATACGGTGCATACCTCGACGTCGTCATCGGGTCACCCCTACCTACCTCGATGACGTCATCGAGGTAGGTAGGCCACACCTACACACCTACATACCTCGACTATGTCGGCGGGAATATCCTGGCCGAAGAAGCGACGGTTGACTCCGTTCACCACGGCCCTCTCCAGCTCATCCTGCGGGGCCCCCGTGTGCATCAGGTACGCGATCTTCTTCACGTCCTGCCGGGGGAGGAGGAGTTCCAAAAAAGCGGTGCTTCAGGCATTTGTCGGTAGGGAGGGACTCATGTAAACGCATGCCGTTGCAAGCAGTTGCAGTCGTTAGACCATGGGCCTCGCATCCCTAGAGATGCCGGGGACGGAGCGAAATGCTGGGTTTTCGCCGGCCAAGGTTATGCGGGGGTAGAAAAGTCCGCGGAGGGAGGGGGAGGGGAAGAGAGAACGAGGGCGCAAGAGCGATAGGTAATTGTTTTGCATACAATGGTTGATCCCGCAATGAGGAGGAGGAGGAGTTATTCGCGATCTTCTCTCCCTGAGTCCCGACGAATAGTCACAGCGGCGGCAGCGGCTGCGGCGGTAGGTCAAAGGAAGGACAACGAAAAGACACACGACTTACGCACGCACCACAATGAACAAGCCAACACCAGCAAGCGACGTACGTACAGGGGACACACGAGGCACGAAAGACACGCACGCGAGCACTATACCAACAAAAACAAACGAGAACAACAAAGAGACGTACGTACGTTGCACACGAAACTCCTGGTCGGCCTGTAGCAAGAACGAAGAGAGATGCACCAGATGGCCACCAAACTGTCTCGTTGAGTCTGTTACCCACAGGGTAGCTATCGCTATATGCAGGTTGGGAGATCCTAGAAGTACTGGTAAGCCTTCCGTTGACGCTCTGAAGCCATTGCTAGTCTACCTATAGACTATTTTCTGTAGATGGAGATGGATTCGTTGTGTTTATCTAAAAAAAACAAAAAAACGAGGCACACAAGTACGAAACACGTACGAAACGAAACAACAACAGACGACACACGGCTCTTGGTCCTCTCTCGATGGATGTAGGCGCGGTGCGGCGGTGTTGGTAAACGAAAAAAAAAAAAAAAGCACAACGAAGAGAAGTACGCATGCTTACAAACGTACGTACGTACGTACGTACCTCCTCGGCGACGCCGTCCTTGACCATCTCTTCGACGTAGGTGCGACGGTGCTCGTAGTTAGGGTCGGAGGTCGAGGTAAGGGGAACGAACATTTCGTCCTGCCGGTCAATGAACCGGGTCGCCGGGAAGTAGGCGTTTATCCACCTTGTTTCGTTAGGACCAGGGGGCGGGGGCGCGGGGTGTAAGAGGCAATGCACGTGTACAGCCGTCTATCTCTCTTTCTGCCCCAAAGCCGAGCTGTTGGCAAGTAGGAGGTGTTTGTCCTCGTTGTTTAGAACCTAGGTGGGGGGGTTGTAGCGGTCGGTGGCGAGAGCAATTTCAGTCCCCCAGCAATCGTAACAACTTTCAGAGACAGCGTAGGAGGTATTTGTCCGCCTTGGGTAGAAAGAACCAGGCGGGGGGGGATAGGAGCGGTCGGTGGCGAGAGCAATTTCAGTCCCCCAGCAATCGTAACAACTTTCAGAGACAGCGTAGGAGGTATTTGTCCGCCTTGGGAAGAAAGAACCAGGCGAGGGGGGATAGGAGCGGTCGGTGGCGAGAGAGCAATTTCCGCCCCCAAAGCAATCACAACAAAAACCAGAGACCAGCAGAAGCAGCAACGATAAGAGTAGCCTCCACGACAGGCACCATCGCCGACAAGCACCCCTCAACGCAACGACTCGGAAACAACGCCAGACTCCACGGAAAAGAACAAACGCTGATAAAGAGTCAGCGTATAGGCTTCAATAGACCCTACTTCAACACATCCCCTTCGAGTGTCTGTGCTTATATCTCGAACGAGTACCCTTCTGCGAGATCATGTAAGCTTTCCAATAAACACACAACACACACACCGACCGACTCGCCGCCAGCACCACCGGCCACGACGTGTCCCGCTACAGACTTGGTGGGGACCCCGTGCATCAAAAATAAATGTAGGCAAGCATAGACAGACTTACCAAGGCTTGCACGCGGTACGGACCCCTTGAATAAAAACAAACCGCAAGCAACAGAGATACTTGCTTCAACCAAGGCTTCTCTCGTGAATCAAATTTGTTGTTCGCAAGTAGAGACCTACCGGGTCTTCTCGTGCATCAAAACTCACGTCGCAAGCAACGAGTCCTAGGCGCTTTCTTACGCAACCAACGTGTGTTCTGTTTTGGATCGGGGGGAGGGGGCCATATTTGTTTAGCCCAAGAAATTATGTGGGCTTCTTCTCCGGAGAAAAATGGTAAATTCCTAGGGCCCAAATTCTCACAGCTCGGATATTTTTAAGTACAGCTAAACAGCGAGCTAGAAAAAAATGCTCGTTTTCTAACAGCGAATCGGCTGATTTTTTCGCTGTGAGAATCGGGGGGGGGGGGGGGGGGGGGGGGGGT